GCAGTGTTTTGCGGCTTGTCTGTGGTCAAAGGTATCTGGGAGGCTAACAGGTGTTTTTTGAGGGTTGGGGCTTGGGGTGGGGGTGGGGTGGATTCTGTATACCCAAGATGTGTTTGGTTTGTTAACCTAGGCTTTGGTGAGTGATGCTGGCTGATTTCTAGGCTTTATTGAGCTTTATGTATGAGATGGAATTTTCAATATTTTAAACCGTTTCTCTAGTTTTTAGAGAATTTTTGTAACGAGAACGTTTCCCCCCCATATCTAATAATCTGTTAGGTGAAATTGGATTATTTTATGTCGCAAAATGTATACATGTTTTGGGAGGTAATAGTATCAGAAAAGCTGGTGCAGGTCTTGGGTAAAAAGCAATAGATATTTAAGAAATGCAAACCATGTCTAAGTTCAAATATCGCGTGTCTTTCTTATTTGCCAGAAGAGGAAAAGAGGAGATGTTTTGCTTTCTAAATGCACTGTCGTGGTGTTTGCCTACAAATAAACGTTGTATAGCAACATTTTACCCTCTACTTCAAAATTACTGAACTGAAACATTATCTATGCATCAAAAGAAAATCCTTTGCAGAAAAAAAGAATGCTTTTATCCCACCCATTTTGAACAGTACTTAAGGATGCAGTTCTCAAAATCCTCTTGACTCTTCCCTCATGAACACCTTGCGAAATATTAAAACCTGTGGACAATCTGCCGCATTGCGCATGGGATGGACCTGCGCACCGCTGAATATCTTCCCCAAAGCACCCAGCGGCGAGTCCTAGTAGTCCAGATATTCCTTTGTAATCGTTTTGACCATAAATGTATTTCTAAACAATAAATGACATCTTTGTAGAAAGGTATTTTTAGCAATTCACGATGGAATCACGCTGGTTTCAAAATGGAGGGCCACTATTTGTGGCCAGTTGACGTCTGAGGGATTGTGGTGGATCACTATGATCTCACAAATAAGAAACTGAATGATATTTTTTATTTGGAATGTCTGCATTTTGTAACTATTTCGCCACTACGGTACAATGGCTGTTGAGATCATTGTTTCATATTGGTAAAAAGCATTGCCTATTGAAAAGCAGGCCCCTGGTCAGGCACGTAGGCCTGTCCCCTGGCCTAAGGAGCCCCCTAGGTGGGCTGGGACAAGCGTGGGGGTGGGGAGGAGTTGTGGCTGTGATGGCCAAGCCCTAGTGTTCACTTTTCCCTGGGTTCGGTGGCTGAGTGCGCCCAAGTGACTAAGAACTTAGGCGGGCTGCAGGTCCTTTTAAGAAGCAGAGGGTGAGGTCATGGGCAGATATGGAGGACTGAAGGGTTCTTTGTAACTCCTGTGGTAGCATTAAGAGTTTATTGGAACTAAGTGGTCGGTTGCATTTAAGGGAGTAAATAATCTGCAAATCACATTTGAACTCGGGCCAGAAGGAGACCAGTTAACGCTTTTGCTACTGCCGGAAATGCCCCCATTGTTCCGGATAACCCAAAAAATTAAACCCAATTTTTAAAAATTAAATAAGAAACACTGGGATTGTAAGAGCTCACAAGCCGGGAAGTGTAACTCCCAGCGTATTCAGTGGGAACCTCCATCCGTTTATAGTTCAGGCAGCCGGTGGCATGTCCGGGCCTTGGTATTTACCGGTCAGGCTGTGAGCTGGGCTTGCACTCTTCACGGGGACCAGCGAAAAGAACGAAGCTCGCTCTTATAAATGTGGCCAAGCACCAGGGCTAAAAACCAAACGTATTTTCTTGTCAGATGCTCCTCCAAACACGTATATTTCGCCAGAATTCTTTCTGAACTAGAGAAGCAGGGAAAAATCGGAACAAAGACAGTATTTCACTCTGGGCAGGCAGGCAGCTGTTAGAGGTATTTACGGCCTTGCCGCAGTGCGGCCGCGGGGCAGGGCACGCGAGGGCACCGGAAGCTAGGGAGAAGCCACCAAGAACTCGGAATTCCGATGTAAGTCCAATTTGGGGCCACTTTTTCCGGAATTGGTGTGAACAGATACCCTCTTTCTAGGAAATGGTCCCTTAGACTTGATGGCTGTGCAGAATGAGGGATAAGTTGTGCTTTCTGACCATAGGGGGTCATCCCCCCCCCACCCCGCCTTGATTAAGGACTCAAGAGAAACCGTGCAGTAGATGTGAAATCGCTAATCCAAATGACAACCTTGAGAGTGTTCGTTGACAACATGGCGATTTTGTTGGTTTGGCGGAACAGAGCTTGCAAATCAGAAAGGACCGTTGGGGGTTTTAATACAGGTTTTGCTGAAGAAAAAAAAAAAAAGGAAGGAAGAAAGAAAAAGTACGTTTTCTGCCTCTCTCAGACGGGGTGTCCAAGCTGCTCTGCAGGTAAGCACGCAAGGAGTGCGCGGTGGCACACACCGCAAAGCGCTGCGCTCGCGCTACGCGTTCAGGTTCTAAGCGTCGGCACGCTGTTTCTGTGTGGCGCATGTGCAGTGAAATAGCCCAGCCCGGGGATCTAACCATAAGGCGCAGATGGGGGGAGGGGTTGAGCGTACTCAAAGCAGGAAGATATAACCTGATCTCGCCACTCCTCCCTCCCTCAGAATTCGCTACTTATCTTGCCTTTATTCCTGCCTTCATTCTAAATATAGCCAACCACATTGTCGTTGATTACGTTATTTTCAAGCGCCACCCCATCCCAATTTAAGTCTGTACTTTAGAAACAGCCTGCAAATAGGAACTAGTGGCCAAAGGGAAGCCAAATCTTTCAAGGTGTTAAACACACACACACACACACACACACACACACACACACACTTTTAACACTTAAAAGAAGATTTATATGTGTGATCCTCGGGGAAGTGTATAGATTTTTTTCCAGCCTGGTGCCTCTGCTTGGGAAAAGGCCTTTCCTCCTGGCGTCTGCTCAAACCGCCAGACTTCGGGCCAGTCCTTCAGGCGGACCATTCCCGGATTTTGTTACTCTAGAGCAGCACGTTTGAGGGCTCTGAGGGGGCCAGCGGCTCAGCATAGAGCGGCCAAATAAATAAATAAACGACAAACTGGAGGGATTTTCCGCCTGGACTCGCCTAATTAATAAGGGATGCACTCTCCTGGGCCACAAGCCGGGACGAGGTTGGGGGTGGGATGGGAGGCATTCTCTGGATCCTTTCGACTTCTGGTCGCCCCAGGGGACACTGAGGGACCAGCTCAGAGCCTTTGGTGCGGAAGACCTCCACCCGCGCGAAGAAGCCTGAGAACGCGGTTTCCCGGGCAGGCTCAGTCCCCCTGCTCGACTGTCGGCGCCTTGTCCAGGAGGAGGCGCTGTAGGACAAGCGTCTCGCCCGCTGCAGCGGCGCCGGAGATGCCCCGGGCGCGGGCGGGGGTAGGGAAACACATGTGACTCCCCTCCCTCCTCTTCTAATCGCAGGGTGCTTTCGGTCTCAGAGGAGGGTCGGAGGTACGGCACCCACCCCCAGAGGGCCGCTTCCCTGGAGGGGCAGCCGAGGCAGAACTGAGGCCGCGGAGCCTGAAGGTAGTGGTGGCAGGCCACCTCACTTCCTCCGCCTTCCCGGAGGTGGCGCGATTTCTGCGCACTGGGCTAAGAGCAGGAAACCAGGGTCCCGCGGTTGGACAAGCCGCGTTTAACCAGCCCCCTGAGGCTGGGCTGCTGTTCTTGCCACTTTTCCTTACTGCGATCCCTGATACCCAGAACGGACAGCCTTGAAAAGCACTGCGTTCAGGGCCCCCCATCCCGACGCGGTCCGAAGGGCCTAGACTTGGCTTTCCTACGACCGGGCTTGGGTTCCAGCATTCCCTCTGGCCTTCCTTGAGGCTCTCAAAGGGAGAATATCATTGACTTTGCAGGTTGAGGACACTGCAGATTGTCATCTCTACTCTCTTCCACACCCTTTTTTCACCACTGCGCCCATTTCAGGACTTTGGTGGGCTCCACGGGGTGTTTCTGGCACCATTGTGACACCCACCTTCAACATCGGGCTCTGATCCA